GAGTGCACCCTCAACAAGTTCGCTGATGATATCAATCTGGGAGGGGTGGCTGACACACAGGCAGGCTGTGCTGCCATCCAACGAGATCTGGACAGGCTGGAGAGCGGGGCAAAGGGAAACCTCATAAAGTTCAATAAGGACAAGTGTAGAGTCCTGCATCTAGAGAGGAATAACACCAGGCACCAGTACAGATTAGGGGCTGTCCTGCCGGAATTGGAGTCCTAGTGGACAGTAAGTTGTCCATGGGACAGTGATGTGCCCTTGTGGCCAAGAGTGCCCATGGGATCCTGGGGGGCATTAAGAAAAACAGAGACCTACTGGAGAGAGTCCAACAGAGAGCTACGAGGATGATTAAAGGACTTGAACATCTCTCCTGTGAAGAGAGACTGAGAGAACTGGGGCTGTTTGGCCTTGAAAGGAGATGGCCGACAGAGGACCGTATTAACATAGATAAATATCTGAGGGGTGGGTGTCAAGAGGAAGGGGACAATCTCTTTCCAGGGGTGCCCGGCAATAGAAAAGGAATAATGGGTGCAAGTTAGAACATAGGAAGTTTCACCTCAACATGAGGAGAAATTTCTAGCTCAGTGGTTTGAGCGTGGTGCTGACAACAACGACAACACCGAGGTCGCGGGTTCGATTCCTGCTTGGTCCCCATGCGTTGCCTGGTCTAGCTGAGAGGTGGCGTCCCTGCCCATGACAGGGAGGTTGGACTAGATCTCTAAGGTCCCTTCCAGCCTAGGCCATTCTATCATTCTATGATTCTATGAATTCCTGGGGAGAAACATACATACTATCAAAAATCCCGTGTTTGGTTTTAACTACACAAAGAATTTACTAAAAAATTCATTATTTTTCTAGGATGTCATATGTTGTAATAATAGTCCAGTTGAGCTTAGGACAAAGCTTACGGTCCATACAAAGAGCAAGGACCTCTCAAGGACAACCATCTGTGCCTCAGATAATGATGGCATTAAGCTATACTAGGTACTTCAGTGACACGCTCCAGAGAGTTCTAGTGGCAAAGCACAGATAGCATACAGATAAAAAACAAATTAAGAGCTAGTTTCCTAAGCAAGGAGGCTGAGCAACGGTGTCAGACAGTCATCACTAGTTATACGCATCAGAGCCATGAATTTTAAGTGCTTTTCAGTGAGTTACAAGGAAGGACTAAGTGTCTGCAAAATGCATGGTGATGTGATCATGCTGAGAGCTCCACTTTCCAAGCCTCTCAGGGCCAGAGGTTTTAGCTTAAAAGTCTCCCTGCACTCATTACATAGCGCGAAGCCTGCTCAGCAATGAATGCAAACCATGCCACAGAACAATGACAGCTGCAGGTGCAAAGGAGGAAATGCTAGAGGCTTGATAGTGCTTCAACATTTATTTACCCCAAAGACACATTAAAAGAACTGAAACAGTTTTTAAAACCACAAAAGCTTTATAACACTTCACAATACATAAATACTAACTGTGCTTCCCGCTTAAACTAAACAGCAGGGAGGTCTTTTATTTAGGCCTTTATGTCAGTAGATGCATAAAGGTGTTTCATTTACTTCAGGTACAGAACAAGTGACAGGAAAAATCTATGGTAGAGTCATTCCAGTTTGGTTCAAGGCCAGGAAATTCTCCTGAGAGGGATGCTCTGCTGTTGACTGGAAGTCATGGTCAAGAGATACTGCTCACATTGCATACAGATGTCTGCAGTCAGCCAGCCTGCCATGGTCCCTTTGTAACAGCACAGAGCCTGTGCTAGGCAATGAGGTTCCAAAATAACAGGTACACTGGAGTGGGAGAGGGAAGAAGAAAAGGAGGAAAGCTGGCCCAGGTTCTGTTAGAGGGCATGGTGCTCTTCCACCCTTCTCCCACAGATGATCCAACCCTGCCACGTGATTTAGCTAAATGCATGAGTTCAAGAGAGCAGTCAACTCCACTTAGGAAGGCTACTAAGCACCAGAACAGCTTCATTTACTGACACCTTTTCTCTGTTGTCATGTATGTCAGCCAAGGAGCTAATGGATGTCTGTGGTTAACCCAAGCTCATGGCTGCATCCTTTTGCTGTCAGGTTTTTTAGCAAAAAAATGCCATCCTGAAGTATGGCAGTGATGCAGCCACTGAGACCTCTTCTGCAGCACCTGCATTGTAAGACAGACCAAACCACTGCCCCATACCATTAACTTCAGCAGTGAACACTACATCTGATTTTTGGCAACTGAATTACAAGCCTTTAAACCAGAAACTGCTGTGCCTTTATTTTGGCTATATCAAAAATGGTTTCAGAGAAAAAAATGCCTGTTCCTTCAGCAGAATATACAACTGCTTAGAAGAGAGCAGATACTACATGTTTCCAGCCCTAGATATTGCATTTACACCCACAAGGTCTGTCTTTTCCACCCAGAACTGTCTAAAGCTCCTTCTGAAATAGTTTCCTTTCTGGGGACAAAAGAGAAATGGTGCCTGTATATGTGTGGACGGAGCAATAAACCATTTGTGGCATTACTGTTCAGTCAATTATATTTGAAACCATTAGCATATTCTATTTATAGGTATAAAGACTCTATTCCTGGGTTGTCGTCACCCAGTTCTGGGGGCAATAGAATATAAGGGGTCTGAAAATCCTCTCACAAATTAAGCTGTCACAAGGAACCTTCTTTGTCTGGGCTAATATGAACACTTCTGAATCCATCTCAGAAACCTGACAGCTAAAAAGCAAAATGGATTTCAGAGTACCTACACATCCTCCCTGAAATCCACATTACTTCCAGAGAACCGTAGACTAGTTAGACGAGTTATGATTGATTCAGCATAACATCCAGCTGATCAGCATAACACTACATACTGCTGTCTGCATATTCATAGACTTGCATATACAAGTAACTGATAACATTTTTCAAGGTTAAAACAGAACATCCCTGTCCCAGCTTACCTCAAACATTCCCAGTGCTCTATTTCATGCAGCAAATCTAAGCTCTTCTGCTCTTGAATAGCTCGGTCCTCCTCTCTGGAGAGTCTCAAAATTTTTAGGAAGTGAAGTGGGAGATGTACACATGTTCTGAAGGGCATGGACATCTAGAATCACAACACAAGTCACCTGAGTTCTCAGGGAAACACATCCTCCTTCTTAGCAGAAAAATTTTCATAGCATGCAATTGATCTATTGGTGCACTCAGAAGACAGACATGAATGCAGTGAACTTGATGACCCTTGTACAAATAGAGCACAAAGTAATCCTGACCACTTTAGATAAGGTGACAGAAAGCAGAACCAGAGTTGGTTTAGCTGAGTATGACAAGACATGTCTGTGGCACCCTGGCTACTTTTGCAGCTTGTAATATTGCCTCTTCTGTTTTCTTAGAAACAAGCTAGAAGGTATCAGTGGGACAAAGAAAAGCTTCCTATGACTATATGAAATGCAGGGAAAACAGAAAATGTAAATAAACATATGCTGTTGTAAAGACTAGACTTGCCTTGATGCAGCAGTCACAGCAGACAACACTAAGAGAAAAAAAGTTCCCAGCATTATCATTTGAGTAAAGCACAGCAGATACCAGTATTGCAGCTAAGGATGACTTTCCCAAGTAAGTCTTAATTTGTGATTGCAGCTCAATCACTTGATGGCAAAGTAAACAAGCTTGGAACTCTCTATTTGGTTTGCCAGCCCCCCTATTTATTCTAGCTTAAATCATCTGAAATGTGTCAGCATCCATAGCTTGAAGGCTTTATCTGCAAATGCACGTTACTTTTCACCCAGCATTACCACCAGACAGTTATTCAATTCGTAGTGGTTATTTACTTGTTTCTTGTAACAAATTCAGTTCTTCACCACTGCTTCAAATAGATTTAAGCAAGCCTTAATGAGCCCAAAGCTCCCCTTTTCCCCTCCCACGATCAGAAAACGTCTGACAAATAAATGGTTACAGGTAGGTGCAACCCCTTTCCCAGTCACAAGGTCTGGTGTTCCCTTTTTCATCCTCAGCAGAAGACTCTAGTGGACAGCCTCTCCCAGAACTTGCTGAAGCCCTTGACTGAAGTTATATCCAACCTTTAGAGCAAAATGCAGAAAGTCACCTCTGATCAAAAATGATCTTAGAGAACACGGTAAATTTGGTCATTGCTAGTTTACTACTAACGGGTAAAACTGAGATACCACTTCAGAGGCAAGTTTTTCCACATCTTCTGCAGCAGTAGACACTTCAGCCTGGCGGGTGCAGTAAGGCAAAACTGAAAGGCTCAGCAACCTGCTCCTATCCAGCACTACAACTGTTTGAATATCATTTTCAGTATTTTCACTCTTTTGTCCCTCCTCATTCAGTCCTTCTGTACCAGCTCACCTGCTGCAGAGGTAACAGCTGTAAGGCCACTTAAGAAACATCTGCTTATGGCAGCTGAAACAAATCTGTGGAAAAGAAAGTTACTTGTGAATGGCAAATGGAAAATATCTTTGTATCAACAGTACCCACTCCCTGCCAAAGAGCAAGCACATAAACCAACCTTCTAAAGGCTTTAGATCCACATCCAATAACAGAGGTCCAATAAAGGATAGCAAAGACACAGGAATTAAAAGCTAAAAAGGCAAAGAAAGTCTTACTTGTAGGCCAATGTTTTTAAGATGCAGAGGTTTGGGGCAGCTGCCAGACAATAGGAGTTTAAAAAAAGGCTCTTGAGCAAACAATAGCTGTATTGTGCAAGAGTGTAACAGTAGCTAGTTAAGAGAGAGAAGAAGAGAGACATTCTTTGAGGTAAACTGCAGCAATCCCAAAGAGATTAAGTCAGGGCAAATTTGAATCAAATCCTGAAGCAAAAAATGAGTCATAAGGAAGCTGATGAGTCGCTTGAACTTTACAAAAAAGAACACATTCATATGCAGCTGGCAGTCAGAAGTGATATTATCTTGAGAAGCAGAACTTGAGAAAGCTAAAAAAACTTTAGCAGCAAGAACACAAAGAGGGTAAGAGAGCCATTTTAGAGTAGGCAGAGAGCATGCAAGTTAAAGCAGGGTTGGGAAGGTGAGAAGAAAACAAGGATTCAGTCTCAGGAGCATCAGACAGGTTGTGGAAGTAGCATAGCTCTGCTAGTAGAACCCTTTGGCTCTGTCTATGCTGCTAAATAACCGAGGGCAACAAGCTGACCCCTAAGCCAAGTAGCACGAACTTCCTCACATCTGTGTTGCAAAGGGCTTGTACTCCCAACAGCTGCTCTAGAGGAGCTGGCTGGAACACTCCCTCTACAGGAGTCTCGGTGAATAAGCCAGCAGTTAAGCAGAGTGGACAGCCAACAGTCCTGGTGTGCTGCAGGTCATCCCTGTCCTCCTCATCTCCCTGACCTTCACATCTACTCAGCAAGGTGGTTTGAGTCAGTACAGCTCAAGTGTGGGAGCCCAAGTTAAAAGCCTCTGTTTCACTGTTTAGAAGTACCAAATCCCAAATAATGACTTTGTGATTTCAGAGCTGGCCAACAGTCACAACGGTGAGCTCTCCAAGCATGGAAGTAACAGACAAGAAGTATCAAGCAAAGGCTGGGTTACTTTCTAGGCAACTTGCACAGCTTAAGCTCGATGAGATGCCATCACTATACAAGTGTTAAAAGATTTTTACAGTCTAGGGCCAAACTTGGATCAGCTGTATGAACAGGGTAAGCTGAGGCAAAGAGCGACTCAGCAGTTCAGCACTGAGGGCCATGAAGCCAACCAGCTTTTGAAAAGGTAAGGACAGCACAGAGAGAAATAGAGGAAACATACCTTTGCTCTTGGAAAGACACCATCGCTACCTCCTTGGAAGAAGCCTTGCCCTTCCAGCACCATCGTTGCATATCTGGTTCCAATCAGCTCAGCTATGGTTGGTGATGACCACTTGACAGGAAAGGGACAGTCCTGTTGAAGGGCAGAAGTTAAGCATCAGAGAAAGGTGAAGGTATTTGGGAAGGTCGTCCTCAGAACTGGGTCCCAAAAGGCTCAGGAGCATTCTTCCCCAAAACTAAGTTTTGTCAGTGAGGGGGAGCATTCATTGACAACACTAGCAGAGAAACTCCCGCAGGGATTTTAGTGGTTGTTAATAGTGTTCCAGCAGCTTCCTGACCCTGCACTAGGGAAGCAGCTCCCTGGGTCACCACAGTACTTAACACCACCTCCAGAGCCAGTCTCCGCAGAATTCTATCCTTTGGTACACATCAGGGCACCGGTGGCACCCCGGCCCTTCCTAGGTACAGGACGCCCCTCCACGGCACAATACTCTCTTGCCTTCCCTTTCCCAAGACCCAGTGGCACCACGTGAATGGCAGCTATGGTGTGGTGGTCAACCAGGAGAGATAACAGTGCTTTGGTCCCCAGAGGTGGGGAGCCCAACCCACCTGCATCCCCCACCACACTGCTGAACAGAAAGTTCACACAGGGTTATGGTTGCTTTATAGACTTGCCAGGGGAGCAGAGAGGGATGCAGAAGGAAAGGAGGAGGCAAGGGCACAGCACACCTTTTTCAAGTAGAACAGGGTGAACCCATGACTCAGAAAGTTCCACAGAAGCTCACAAAACCCAGCATTGCTCCCACCATGGCCATTCAGAGCCTGGTGACTTCAGTACCGCATACACTGAAAAGTCATCGATGCTGTACTATCTACATTTTGTCAACCACTTGTTCCCTTTACTGCAGCTTAAAGATGTTTGTAAATGTATTGAAACCTAGAAAGAATGAGGGGAGATAGAGAAAGCAGGACAGTCCCACTGCCAGCTACAGTCTGCTTGAGGAAGCCATGGCAGACAATTTCAAGTAATGCAGTGGTATTCTTCTCCTCTTCTATGAGGAACAACTTTATTTTGTATCATTCAAACTAGGAAGTCTCCACAAGGACACTATAGCATCCAATCTTCTCTTAAGCTGTCTCCAAGAAGAGCACAAAACCCCAACTTCAGATCAATGTACAATATGGCCTGAGATGAAAACCACAGAACATGCTTACTGCTTGCACAAGAATCAAGGTGCAAGCTCTGGTCATTACCAGATGTACCAGACCAGGCTTGCTAGCTGACATACCAGACTTGCAAGTTCCTCCCTTTGAAGGCCACTCTCTAAAGATTTGGACCTTCCTCTGTAAGAAGGCAGCTGCTGTTGGCCAGCATTCAGGAAACCATTAGGTTTAATGTCTCCTAGTGTGGGTGCACTCACAGGATGACATCTGCAATTTGCAGTGAGACCTGGACAGGAAGAGACAGTTTTAGGATACAGAGAACCAACAGGCAGCTTCTAAGTATTCACCCCAAAAGCTGAGCGCTCAAGAGTGCCACACCACCTTCTGAAGGTAGCAAGGCTTAGATCTCTCCCCCTCAACCCTCATCAGCTCAGATCACAGAAAGCAGAGGTTACAGTAATTATGCTTGTCAGTACACACTGATGAGGCTTCATTAGCACCATTTAGTTTAATTAAATCAAGTGGTGCACTTTCTACTTCAATATGCAAAACAGTCATTTAGCTTTTACTATGAATTCCAGCTAGGCCTTTGGGGACATGCTATCATTGTTTTGAAGCTGCAGGAGCTATACATGCTTCACTCAACTGCAGATGAATGGTTTTCTAACGGCATCTCTGCAGACTTGTTACTTAGTGTTGGAGCTTCTCCTGTAAAGTGTCTTGAGGTGATCAGAGAGAAAATGTACAGTTTTGGGAACCCCACAGGTCACTGACTGTACTTTGTCGTCTGGTTCAGATGTGCAGCTAGAAGCACACTGACCTGTGCTATTGCAGGATGCTGCTGACGGCCTGGTGGAGGCAAGCCAGGTGCTGGAAGGCAGCTTGGGACTGGTTTCCTGTAGACCAGAGGACAGGATGTTCTCAAGCTGCGTACAAGAGACACCAAGACCACTTCCTCAGAAGTGCTGCTGTTAAATAAAACCCAGGGTACCCAGGACTGACCAGAAATGTTCAAGGTTGAGCCAAAAGCAGAGTGGAGAGAAAAATCAATGTGGTACATTTAGCAACTTCATATTCCAGGAGGTAAGTTATTTTTCCCCACTACCAGGAAGGTCCAGCCAAGCTAGTGAAATTTCAAATTCATCTGTTTTCATTCTCACCCAAATTCAATGCGGATACTAGCCCCAAAGTTTCATCTGTTCAGGAACCAACTTCACAAAAGCCTCCTTATACAACTCTCAGTGTACACTGAAATTATTTTCTTGGCTCCCACTTACTTGAAGAAACACTGGAGAACAGTTCAAGAGACTGTGTCCCACTAACTTAACACAAACCTAATGCTGTATCTCAACAGCATTGTTTCTGGCTTCTCTAAAAAAGCAGAAAACAAATTTGAGAGTAGTAGTCTCCATCTGAAGCTCCTTCTAATTTAGCAGTAAGACATCAACCACAGTTGATGTCTCAAATGCTGGACATTCCTACAAGTAGCACAGACCTGTGCAAATAAAGCTAAGATTTTCTACTTTTATTAATTCATATCCATTTTCTTCAGTTAAGCAACTGCATGTCAAACTGAAGTGTTTACAGAAAACAGATTCCTGCTTGTATGCCAGCATGTCTGTGCTAGACATGATGTGTTAGGGCTTAAGTTCTGCTCCGCATAATTTCTGAGTACGCTCAGACTGAATCCCAGAACCAAGCAGCCAAGTTTCTCATGATCAAGCCAGGAGTTAAAAAACCCAAAGACTACGTATCATGGTTTATTCAAGAAAGGTGCTCCCAACATTTTTCCACAGGCAGAGGAGTGGGACTTCACCAATGAAGTTGTTTCCTGAAAACAAATCATTATGTCTCCCTTCCACAAGCTCATATACCATGCAAAATGCAAATGCATCAATACATTTAGCATCAAATGCCTAACTCTGAATTAAGAGTGGGAATAGTTCTGTCCCATATTGGCCAGACTCCTAGGCATATTAAAACTTCCACAGGATCTAGCTTTAAAAGACTAGAGCAGACCTTGCTTCTATAGGCTGCAGTCATGCTGCCAGAAAAACTGTTTAAATATGGCATGAGCTTCTGTAGAAGGTTCTCCAAAGTCCTTTCTAACAGTACCACATTTGTTCAGCTTTGAGAGACAAGATTTCCCAGACTAGGATTTGAACCTGTCGTTCCAGGCCATGCGTGTGTGCACAAATCTAATGCCTGAAGTACTTTTGCCTCTTCAGAGTGCTTTCATTTAAAGCCTTACCTGAGCTCCTGGTCTCAGCTGCTGTGTTGTAGTGCTGATAATTTTCAATTCAGTACTGGCATCTTGGAAAGTTAAAAAACGCTCTGTTGGAGATTTCAAGGCAATATTTGGCGTCACAAGCATTTCTGCAGGGGAAACTGGGAACAAAAAACACCACACGCAAAAGGCAAGATACCATGCCGTTACAAGAAAATGACAGATTTGATACCCACACATCAGAATTTGAGATTTGGCTAGACTTTGTCCTGGCAGTTTTATAATCTTTCAGTTTTAGGTGATGGTCAAAGTCCTGTCCTCTCACTTAGCAAACAGACAAATTTGAACATCCATTAAAAGAAGAGGGTAAGTTGAAACATCTTTTGAGTATTAATAAGCCTCAAACAGATTTTCTAGAAAGAACTCTCATCATGCCGTATGACTTCTGTCACACAAAACTTGCATTCCCACCTCGCGTGCATTATACATGCTATGGAAAAGATAAGTGGACTTTTCATTTCATTTCATTTCAAAGGCCATCCATTATTTTTACTCAACACTGATTTCACTTGCATGCCTGACAGGTGACTTCGTAGCAAGTACCTTTGGGCTTACTCTTATTTTCTCTTGTTGCTGATGACCGAAGGTTCTGCGGTCGTTTTATTTCTGCCATAAGCTGTTCATGCCAGCCGGACTCCCACAGCACACATTGCTTCAGCTTCCTCTCCAGCACCTACGGGCAAAGGTAGGTAGTACCAGGGAGAGCCAGTGGATAGAGCAAGGAGACCAGTGGTGACAGAACTACTCCTCTGGGAATGGCAATCTGCCTCTGACTCAAGAGGGCACTGGGCCCTGCCCGTAAGACACATGTAAGAAAACATTTAGATAAAGCATAGTAGAATACTTTAGCAACTCTCAGATTTGAAACAAAACTCTAGGAGTGCTTTCAGGACCTCAGAATGTTCCAATGGAAGAAGCAGTGGAGGAAGCAGGGAGATTGATCATCTTTCTCCTCTGAAGATGTCACCTCCCATTTTCTTAACCCCATGTTCTGGCAGAAGGATCTGCCTGGAAGTTAACTATAGTTAATATATCCCCCTCCCAATTCCAAACCAGTAGCTCTGCATTCCTAGAAACTGTCCCATCAGCTCCAGAATCAGCTTGTTTTGCTATCATTAGATGCAGCACCAGGTCACCTACTGGCTTTAGATGAGGCTTAGGAGCAGATACATCAACTTTGAGGGTCCCATGTTTTTGCTTGATGATCACCTGAAAGAGCAGAAACAATGCTTAAGCAAGAATTCTTTCTCTGCTCCTGGCACACCCTCCCACTGAGTGGCACAGCAAATAAGTTAGGATGTGGGAATGGAGGAGCTGGGGAAGGCATAACAAAACTGAGTCAGGAAGTGTAAAATAATGAGGTTCACCTATGTGGGTTTTTGGTAGAGAGAGATTTCCCTGTGGCAAACTAGAGGCAATCAGAAGTGCTGCACAGCCCTTTCAGGCTTGCATGAGAAGCATACAGCCTTCAAGCCCCAGCAGTTCATGAACAGCCCCTGGAAAATACTGTACTTAAATTTTAATATCAGGAGTGATCCTGACAAGCACCATGGTCACATCACATTCAACAGTGCAAACTCAGCTCCAGGGAGGACAGTAATGGAACAGGTTAACAAGACCATAAAAAGAACTCTAGCAGCAGGCAGCTGTATGCATGAACTAGACTCCCAGAGACTGGCTTACAGCCTGACATAAACTAGGCACAACAGCAAGACAGAACTGCTGGGCAGGTATTCATGTGAGGCAGACCATCTCTCTCTTCAAGCCCTGTGCTTGCCGCATAGGGGAGAACTGACAAAACAGTCGTTGCACACACATGTTTTTAGCTGCCTTGTTCACTTACTCTTATTTTGAGGCTATGCCATTTACTTTCCTTGTGTGAACAACTTCAGAACACGTGGGTGTGCAGGTAGAACAACACTACAGCTTCCCACACTGGCTGTGCTTTCATTCATTTGCAAATTAGACCACTGTTTGCTGTAAAAGCTTTAAAATAGCTTTGCAGATGGGGAAATCCTTCTTTAAGAACCTTCACAAAGACTGAGCGGTAGCACTCGATGCTTTCTTCTAGCATTTCTGACTAATACTCTTCAAATATGTTTGTGCTTCCTGTGGAACACATTAAAAAATAAAGACCCAGTTCATTCTGCCACCTTGAGTAACGCTTCTGTATTGCACAGTGCATAGTTAGAAGGTATAATCTCCTTTCCACTACTATTCATTTATATATCGATCAAGATACCTCCAGAGAAATGTCATAACTTTATCTGAAGGCTGAAGCCACAGCCAAGAAGAACCAGAGCTGGGGTTTTATCGAGGTTCATGGTTTATCTGAGGCTTTTAAATCCCCTGTGCCTTAGCAGCACCAACAATGAGAAAAAAAAACCCTAAACCAAACCTGATGTCTAGTGTGGTATGCAAAGTTTTCACTTTTTAAAACACCGCTCTTTATTACAAGTAGAGTTGTGTCTCATCTTCTGCCAAGATGTCTGTTTGTAAAGCACGCCAATGCCACAAAGCCTCATGCCAATGTTTTAGATGTGTTCATCACTCCCAACTCAAGTTGCAGCAAGTGAACAGTATCTCAAGCCTTTAGAGACACCTGAGATATTTTTGTATCAGGCCATCTTCACCCGCCATCCACGTTGCTGGAAGCCCCCACCACATAAGACAGCAGAGCAGCTACCCCTGGAAAGGGGCTCAGCTTTTTTTACCCTGACTAAACTCCTGCAGTAGATCACACACACTGGTCTAGAGGCTTCTGCCTGAGGCCAAGCAAAGGACTTAAAAAAAAGAAGAAAAAAAAAAGTCCTTTTGCACTTGGACACATTCCACAACATCCCAGAAGGCAAGGGAACTGGTAAGAGATGACAGGCACAGCTTAGCTCAAGGAGCCTGGGAGGACACAAGTGTCCAAGGTGGAAAGCACACACAGGCAAGGGTCTGTTTCATGAAGCTGTTGAGGGCAAGGCAGCCTAATTGCTCCAGGAAAGGGAGTGGCTGACCCCTGGAGGGAGATCAAGTTTATCATCCAGCTTCATGAAAGCATGGCTACCCCTGACTTAGTAAGTTACTGGAAATGAAGCACTTGGGTGGACAAACATGGTGATTTAATGCTGAGCTGCAGCCGAGTGGGAGACCTGAAAGCTTCTGGAGTTGGAAGTACCCTGTAGAAAGACAGGCTTCTGGAGAAGAGGTCTTAACAAATACTGCTTAGAAATGAGGTACAACAGGTTGTTTCAAAGTTGTCCATTGACTCTAGTCACTCACCTCCCGAAGGGTGTACCTCTTGTGCTGAATATCATCCAGAAGTAATTCATAGGGAGAGCGGATACATTCTTTTGGAGGCACGTGATGCTGTGGTTGCTCAGTGACCTTGCGCAGCCTTACACCGTTCTTCAGCTCATGGATGACACTGGGCCACAGGGATGCCTCAGAGAAACCAGTGAGGGCCAAGTCAACAGCTGCCTAGAACATACTGAGAAGCATCCCTTCCCTCCACATAACAGGGCACACTTAACTGAAGTAGTTCAGAAACACAGAAATGTGTCCTTAACATCCTCTTCAACTCCCTTCCAGATCAGGGCACAGTACCAGAGAAGAGAAACGCTTCTCTTTGTAGAAGCTAATTTACAACAAGCCACTCTGGAGCTGGCTCACCAGGCTCATTCCCAAATTTCGCCATTAACTATGAACGTACTTCAGCAAAACACAGCTTCTGCTGTCCGATAGCTAGACTTGTTTTCTTGAACTTGCTGCAAGTGCTCCAGGTGCCAGAGTTTTTCATATTATTGAATCCTAGTAAACACTGGGAATGAAACCCCAAATCTCACCATGAAAATTCTCTGGACTTTCAGAAACCAATGGTTGAAGGGCCCACAGACGAAAGAGGAAGACGAGAGGAAAGGGATCTCATGCTTTAACCTTCAAAGCAGCATATGCTAAGTTAGCAGTTTCAGCCTGGAAACACAAGCTGATAACTCTTACATCTGCTCATCCTGTTCCTGTATTAACATCTGAGGATGCTCAGGCATGCAGTATAACCCAACAAAAGTTAAATACAGGAAAGAAAAAATAATCAACTCAATATCATGTTTAGACAACATTGTAATGGAAGTGCTAAGTCAACAGTGCTTATCTGGATCCCAGCAGCAAACTGAGTAAGAACAAGTGATGATTGTATTATAAACAGTGAAAAGGAAGCAAAACGTTTTAGGAAACTGCCTCGGAACAAAGTTTCCGTCTTAGGCTCCTTTCCCTTTTCTACTTACAGTGTGAAGCATCTTCTTTCAACTCACCCCTTCAGATATCTTGGTATAATATCAGAAAAGTCTTACACTAACTCTGAACGATAGCTGCCTTCAAGGAAAAATATATTTTGTTGGGTTATTTTAGCCTGACTTTGGTACAGTCACATCTCAATTCCAGAGAACTACAACCATCAAGGAGTGACCACATACTAGCCATATCTCCTAGGCTATATTTATTATTGTATAGAACACACAAAAGCCTCTGGGCAAACTGATCAGTATGAGAGACCTTTGAAAGAGCTGATCCCGAGCCATTTGCACTTTCTAGAGCTGTATGTCAGATGATGACAGAACTCAACTGAAAGATATGACATGAAGAGAGACTTCTGCACTGTAATATTGCCACATCGCTTTTGGCACAAGAATTGCCTTCAGCTGGCCACTTCAGAGCAACTCATACACCCACAACATTTTTCAGATGTAGGTGACATCATTATCACTCACACTCTTCTCTCCCTACTGACTGCAGCACTGCAATTACTCCACTTGGGCTGTCCCACGCATTGTCAAACTCCACGTAAACTTCCCACACCTGCGCGATACAACACAGAACGCCACAACACTCCAAACCTCTCGCATGCAGTTCAACAGATGAGTGGTAAGACAGCTGTGTTCCTCAGAGCTCTCACTGCTTAGATTTCAAGGTGAAGATTCTCTTGTGCCACGCACGATAAACTCTGCTGAAACTACAGCCCTGCATACTACCAGGCTGTGCTCAACATTTCGGAAGGCCCGTTTCATAGCAGCCAACACGAAACAGTGTGGTCCACAGAGAGCATTAGCTGCTTGGCACCACTCACGGCATCAGCTCTAACCTGTGGGATCCCAGTAAAGCTGACATACTGGTTATTTTAAACTCAAGAGTTTGTCAGAGAGATGCAATCAACTGGTGCTTAGGGACTTGGAAACTAGCGGCAGAGGATTTACAACAGACATCCTACTTTTGGAATTCATGTCTCCTGAAGGAGCAGAGGCCAAATACACTGGCCTTCAGGCCACACAGCAAAGCCCATGTATTTTTACATGTATTCCCTGCAGAAAAGAGCTATAGCAGTTGATGAGTTTGTGGTTTGAGATAGCTTGCCAGTTTATTTTAATAGATCACAAAATTGAGAATATGCCCAAACACACATTTCACAAACATTTTCATACGAATAGTTTGAGCATGCTTCAAAGCAAGTGCTATTTAGACAAAGGGAGCAAGTCCACAAGTCTCTTGGGGTGTGCCGTTTGTCTCCACAGACTCCAGACTACAGTGCATTTGTTTATGCTGGGCAGAGCTCCAGCCAGAAGAACTATTTGATTCTGACTGAGCCCTGACTGTGAAGGGCCTTGAAAAGAACACACTAAGCTGCCTTCTCTGTCCCAAACACACAGTCCAAGATCTATGGAAGGACAGAATGAAAAGACAAGAAAGGCAGCAAGCAGGAGGCAGGAGCTAGTTCAAGTTCACTTCCCAGCTCGATTTGCAGACAAGTCTTCAACTACTTAAGCTCTTGAATAACTTAGGAAGTTTCATTCGTGCTCAAGCTCTACTTTTCATAGAAGAATCAGTGGAAAGCCTCAGAGACAAGGCAGACAAAAACCAAACAAAATAGTCCCCCATAATGAAGTAATTAAATCCCTTACCCGGTGTTTTTCCTTCTTCTGAAAGGGATTCTCCACCAAATATTCCATATCCATTTTTCTCAGTCTCTGAGAAGGAAGAACATGAGGTCATTACCTTGCACTTTTCTATCTATCTAGTTAATCTGAAAAGCTTAGAAGTCCCAAACACCCAAATTTTCAAAAGCTACAATAAAATACTAATATGGTGCAAAGCCTTTCACATCATGAAAACAGACCTTCAGCTAAGTACTCCATTTCTGCTCCAACGGGAATGTTACTTTAGAACTAGGTGAGAGTACAAAGGTAGAGGGTATAGGAACTAAGGCATGATCCCAGATGTACCTCTTTGGAACTCTGGATGACGGTCACAAGCTCCTGAAGTTCCATATATTCAGTAAACAGACTCCTACAGGTCACTTCATAATGGCTGGTAGCCTCAGAAGGCCTGGACAAGTGCTCCTCACAGGCCTGAAAGAAGGGCAGCTATTTAAAAGAGATCTTGAAATGAAATAACATGGTAGGATGGAAAAAGCAAGATTCAGTTTTCTCAGTCCATGGCTGAAAACTCCTTCACAGCCCCTTTGTATCTGTTTTTTTCCTCCCTATTTCAGATGCAGAGGAACAAAGCAGTAAGATGTCCAATCTTATATATGCAACAGTGTAAGCAGCTGTGTAATTTATAAACCTTGTTTTTCATAAGGCATGCTTTGAAATAAGTACCTGGAGGGAGAAGCCTCCAGTGCAGACAAAGCACAAAAAACCACAGCAAGTGGAGTCATTTGCCCTATTCTTTTCCCTTGTGCTGATCAGACTGAGGGGTGGGAAGTTTCTCATACATTTAAAATAGGGTTGAGAGGAAAATGTTCGAGTTGAGATATTCAAACTCAGCTCTTGCAGTAACTGAATACCATGGACAAGTGACATTTTTCAGTATCCATAGTCTTCTAGGTATTGAATTTGGAGACCATGTCCAGAGAGACTTCATAAACACAGCTGTGAGAGCCATGCTCAAGTCTTCCTTCTTCATTCTTTTCCACAGGCCTTTACAAGCACCTAAGCTGGTTTTGCCCTTTCCTTCTGATGGAAAAGGCCACATGCTCTGTGCCCTCCCAACAAGCTACTCATCTCCTTCCCAGAAATGCTCTTGCCCCTTGGTTAAGAACATTGTTCCACCAACTCCTGTAAAGCTGCTGTATTTACTAAGTGGCAAGAAGGAAACCTTCATAACATCCTGCAGGGTGATTGCTGGTTTCGTTGCCTCATCATCCAGTTTTAACATGAGGCACAGCAGTTTCTCCAGAGGATCGCTCAGTTCTCGCTCCACTTGGCTGTCAATTCCCCAGTCCAGGGCTTCATAGATCACCACTCCCAAGTACTCCAACAGCTGCAGGCAAAGACGAAGGAAGCAGTACAGCACAAAGTGTTGTAGAGAACTTCATAGCTCTCACTCCCCAGCCATGTGCATACCCACCACTGCCCCTCAAGGCTGAGCACATCTCTCAGGATGACAAGGGCCCAAAGGGCAGCTAGATGCCCTAGTAGCCTGAGAGAAGCTGGTTTCGGATTTTTAAATGAGCTTATCTAGCACCTCTAATTTATCTGTTATTAAGACAAAAAGACTGTGGGCTAATCCACAGTAGGCAGTATTTGTGCAGATTGTTTCCCAGTCCCATTGTCTTATTTGAATTCAGTTGTAGCATTTTGCTTCATTTTCCAAACTGCAGAGGACAGAGTCACTCTCACAGGTCACAGCAAATTTAAGCACCTCAGTAGTCTCCAAAGATATCTGCATCTCCGGAGCTTGCCTTCTACAATTGCAGGATTATATCTGCATATACAAAAAAGATGAAGACCCAGGCTTACCTTGTCCTCTGACTGCTGAATGTTGCCAGCTTCTGAAAGAAAAAAAAAAGGCAAGGGAGATTAATAAACAGCTTTTACAATCCTTGTCAAGAGAGAGAAACAGGAAGAATTCTTGATAATAAGGGGAAAAACCCCTCCAAGGTCAGTGCTGAGGAAGTCCTTTTTCCTTTTCCTAGGAAAAGCAGGCCTATATTTGGGGACTCTTGGAAAGCAACGCAGGATACTCTTCTTATTGTGAGCATTAGCCCCAAACTAACTGCTTCTCAGTAGTTTTTTGTTTGCTAATAGATATCTAACCACAAGGAAGGCACTGAATATTTGTCTTCATTCTTTACTACTCACTCTTGTCCCTGAAGAGTTAGCCTAGCATCCACCACTGCAGAAATGCAATGAAGCCCTGCATAGGACAAGCTTATTGCCATTTGCTGGCTACACCTATTGATAAAAGGGAAACTGTATATCATAGATCTGTCGTAAGAGCTACTGTAACAAAGGAACCATACAAACAGAGCAGGACACACAATACAGCCTCAGACTATTTATTTCAAATAACATATGTGGTGACACACTTTCATCCCATCCCCACAACCAAATGACTCACTAGAGCACTATTAGAAAAATTAGAAGGCCGTACATCTCTATTACCACTCCTCTACAGTCCTTTGAAATGAACTATAGACAGCAGAATAGCTTCATGACAACATACAGTGAGAGGAGGGTGAGTGGGGAAAGCAGGAAAAAAATTAAATTCCCCATTTTGTTCCCACATTTCCACCCGTTACAGGAGCAGTCTGTGACAGCCACAGCTACCCTATGCTCTTACCAGACTTGTGGTAGACTCTGAAGGAAGCAGTACCATCAGCATGGATGAAGATGCTTCCAGGACCTTTTATGAATACAGAATGTAGTGGTGGGCACAGCCCCCGAGCCAACTGCTCCATTTTACGACAGCACTGAAAGCAGACAGCCCAGGCTTGCTCCTCGCTTATGGGCTGTTCGAAACACTTCAGAATCTCAGCTAGAGAGACCTTCATGATCTGCTTACGCTGTGGAGCCTCCATTTCCTCCTTTAAGCTTTCATCTACACTCCTAGCCTACGAAGTTTAACACTCCACTTTCCAGGACAGGCAAGTCCTCTTAGCAGCCTTTTATCAGTTCTGCCTCCTGGTTTGTTCTCACCTCTCTTCCCTACAGGTGCAACCATTAATGCCAATTTTGCTTTATCTTTTTAAAGGGACATGACTTTAACCTGTATTTCTATGAGAGTCCTTGAAAGAAGGCAGAAAGTATGCAACAAAATGGAATCTAAAAGGAAAAATAAGACTGTACAAAAATCACACTCAATTTAACTCCACTATTTCTACCAAATATATCAATTGCAATGACAATTAATTGGCAATACCAAAGAGAAGATTACATTCAAATCCAGGCAGAAAGGTAAGGAGGCAGGAAATAACATCTTATACTCTGGGGAGAAGGACTCACAGAAGATCACACAAATTTGATGGTGAACAGCAATAGAAGGGGAGCACTAATACATTACAGCAATCAGCTCCAGAGGACACCTGCACCCGCCACAGGCCCCACTCCTGTCCCACCTTCACCCTCGGTCCCTGCCCCAGCAAATCCCGACACAGGGCACGGGCTGCAAAGCTCTTCCTTACTCAAAATTCTGAATTATTGCCTGATGAAGATTTTTTTTTTTT